CGGGTGCGACACTGAGGGTTGCGATCCGTTGCCGGTCACGAAAAAAGACAAAAAGGAAAAAAAAAAAAGAGGAAACTCCAGAGGGAGTAAAGCTGTGGCTCGCACCTCAGAAATCAGTTGTGGTTTGAATGTGAGTGACCAGAGGGCCTTTGGTGATGCGTCCCCAAATGAGTCTGTGCATTCTCAAAGGCTTGAAACAGAAACCCTTTTGGACTGGCAGGGTCCCTGGGTTCTAGCCCCTGCTCTAGCCATTGACTTGCAGGGTCACCTCGGGCAATCCTTGATCCCTCTTGGGGCCTCAGTATACCCATCCATAAAATGTTGGACTGGATGAGCAATTGCCAATTATTATTTGGTTCAAGATCCCATTCTTCAAGCGAAATCCCTTGCAGAGCCCCAGTGTAAGAAAAGATGGAGAGGGTAGCCAGTTAGCTCAGTTGGTTAGAGTACAGTCCTGTAATGCCAGGGTCATGGGTTCTCATCCCCATACTGGCCAGCTGCCAAAAAAAAAAAGAAAGAAAGAAAGAAAAGATGGAGAGTATTATGACTGAAAACGAGATTTGTGGCCCATGCCCCTTGTCTCCCCCTTGTCCTTTTCTGAGGATCCGTAAGGCTCTTGATGGTTGTTTGAAAACTACCAGTCCTGCTGAGCTCCGAACCCATGCAGCTGAACTCGGACTTTATGGAATCTCTCTGGGACTCCAAGTGACACAACCCCAGCTACCATGACCTCAAAATGACTGCATTGACCTGTGACCACACTGACTTAGGGAACCCCAATGTGAAGTAATCCTATTAGATGTCCCAACCAGAGGCCAAATTCCTTCCCTGGGAACTGCCTGCCTGACCACCCAACATGACTATACTGTGGCCCTAAGGAGCTCTTAATCCCCCTCCTATCCCCTAACTCTACCCTCCCTGTGAATTCAGAAACACCTAGAAGTTTATTCTAATTTAAGTGCACATCAAGGATAGTAAAGTCCACTCCTAACGTTCCATGATGGAGGCTTCTTTGTGTAGGCATTTCTCCTTTCCTAAGACCTGACCCACAGGAAATGTCATCATCCCTGTCATTCCAGAGTGCTTATGAGACATGTGCCAGGCACTGTGCTATGGGCTTTGCATGGATTGCATCCAATCCCCAACACCTGGGAGGCGGGCCTTACCACCCCATTATGCAGCTGAGGAATACTGAGACTTGGGGCCACTAAGGAGTGGAGCTGTGGTTCAGGGCAGAGTCAGTACTCATCACCGGATTGCATCCAATCCCCAACACCTGGGAGGCGGGCCTTACCACCCCATTATGCAGCTGAGGAAAACTGAGACTTGGGGCCACTAAGGAGTGGAGCTGTGGTTCAGGGCAGAGTCAGTACTCATCACACAGGCTGTGGATCCTCATCACACAGGCTGTGGATCCTAAGACAGTCCTGTCTGAGCCTCCATGTCCTCATCTCTAAAATGGGGAAGATAATTATAATCCTCACAGGTTGTTGGGTGATTAAATGAAACAGAACATGCAAAAATCCTTAGCTTAGCACCCAGCATGTGGTTACTCAATAAAGGTTGGTTCAAGACACTTCTTCTTAAAACGAGACACCAGTCTTTTACAGAAAATAGAAAATAGGATTTATTATCACATTTAAGGTAAACACAAATAAATGTTCTACAAATGTTCTAAATACATCATAAGTAGATTTAATTTATTCAACACACAGTAAAATCAAAGCCCACTAGGAAATACTCTCTTCCAGAGCACAGGGCACTTCTAGGCCATTTCTGTTTTCAACATGGAAATTCACATTGACTAGGCACAGCTCACATTAGATTTGTTCCCAGGTTCAACCACTTCCACCCCCATGGACCCTCCTCAAAAATGACAACAGCAAACCAATGGGATTCACAGTGACCAGGAGGAAAGGCCTCGGCTATGGGAACTGGCACAAAATCCCTGAGTCATGTTTCAAAAGCCAGGCTCTGGGGTTCTGTGGCCTGTGCCAAGTCAGGTTACAGCACAGCATGGTGTTGTTAGTGTCACAGCTTCATTTCTAGTCAAGCTTGTTACGTAACTGCTCCAGTTAGGAAGACAACATGACAGGCATTACAGCCCTTTCACAGCAAGTGGCTGTCCCTTTGTCCAGGGGAGGCGGAGACCTTTTCTCAGTGCTAAATCATCACCACCTCCACCGTCCAAGGCACAGGAGAACCTGGGCTGAGCAAACACAGGTGACGATGCTTGAGGAGGGGTGGGTGACACGGCATCCATAAATGCCAAGAAAGGGGTCATGAGAAAGGGTGGAAACTAGGGAAGCAGTCTGCTGGGTCCCAGCAGGGGTCCGAAGTTCCCGAGTGGCCTTCATCAGGCATACAGCAACAGAGAGAGCACAGGCACCTCCTGGGGGCACCCTTGCTGATAGCCAGGCGGCTGCTGGGTGAATTGACACACACGCAGCTGCCACCATCCTGGCACCCTGGCCAAAGTTTAGCTCAACTGGCCACAGTCTGTGATGACAATCTTCTTGGATGTCTTTCCACTCTTAGAACCAAAAGATTCTATTTTCTTCACCACATCCATGCCCTCTTTGACGAGGCCGAACACAACATGCTTGCCGTCCAGCCTGTGAGGAGAGGTGGGCTAGGTGAGCAGACACCAGCACAGTGCAACGTCACCCAATGTCACAGACACTTGGGCATGGAATTACTTACCAAAAACAGCAATTCTGAAAGCCACCCCCCAGTGAATAGTTGGACCCATCCCCAGAGCCCCGGTATCAAGCCTTACTGAGCTCCCCAAATATACCTCAGAGGATGTGCAGCTTCTCACACTGTGCACCCATGCCCCAGGCTGCTTAACCTGTATCCTGCTAACCTCATCCATGAAAAGTGAACTATTCTTGCTCTGCACAGGGTGATAATAGGATATTGAACTACTCTGAAGAAATAAGACCCCTTCACAAATGGAACAATTTTAACAATCATGAATTATGAGGCAAGAGCCAAGGTAATAAGTGTGGTGAAACTCCAGAAGGCCCGAGCAGCTCTTGATCTGAGACTTCCAAGAATCTAAAAGGCAGCTTTGTCCAGCTCCAGCGAAGCCAAAGATGGTCCCAGCCAAGGGAAGACTGCAGGGTCCATTCAGGTTCCACAGAAGGAGCAGAGTGGCAGAGCCGCCACCACCTGCCCAGCTCCGACATCCACATCTTTCTGGCTTGGAGGCTAGACAGCTAGCAGCCACCCACCCACCTAAAATTCTCAGTAATGGGCTTTATTAAGTCTTAGCTCCTACCAGCTGTTACCTCCTCAACCCCAGATGCCTCAGGGCTGGGACACAGGAACTCTGGGCAGGTAAATGTACCAGTTTGTGGAAAATTTACCAGGGAAAGGACATCCCTTGAGATCCATGGGCATGTGGGAAAGAGGGCTCTCACGGGCTGGTGCTATCTGCAAGCCTATGCTCATAGAGCAGCTCAATGAAAACCCTGCTGTGATGTCCAAATGTCTGCCACGGCATTGTCCAAGGTGCATCCAGGGTCAAGGTAAGCCTCAGAAATGCTGGGTTAAACCAGGCAAACGGGCTTCCACTGCAGGACATCTCAAGGCCTAGTGTGTTCTGCAGTATTTCCCAGATGTGTCTGGTAGGGGAACCCTTTTTTGTGTGTGCAAAACACACTGAGAAAATTCCAGCTGACAGCAACAATAGGAAGCCTAATTGTGACAGAATTGCAGGAACCCAAATTCTCCCTCAATCTTATCACTTTTTCTCATATAGACACACAGCCCCAGAGAGGGCCACTGGCCCAGAGCAGACGGTCCTCCCCTGAAAGTGCAAGAACCCTCCTCCAGCTGCAGAGCCACTGCCATTCCCAGAGGGCCAGGAAAAGGGAACTCACCAGTCTGTCTTTATGGTGCAAATGAAGAACTGGGAGCCATTGGTGTTGGGGCCTGCATTTGCCATGGACAGGACACCTGCAAAAACCAGCAGAGGTGAGCCATACTGCCCCAGGAGGCCTCTCACCCGGGAAGTCATTCAACAGAGTGGATGGCTCAAACCACATCGAGAGCATCTGAGTCTATAGATTCTGGCGCCCAGAAGAGACCCAGGCCTCATGACCAGCTCCCCAGGCCTTGTCTGCCTTTGGGGCCCACTAGGTCTCAACGGGGTGGCCGGGGAGGAAAGGGCCTTATGAAAGCTCTCAGTGGTAGAGCTGGAATGGGACCCCCCAGACCTGACCTCTAGAAATTTTCCACATTCCACCTTGGGCCTTATAGGTGACACAACCCTGGGGTTCTGCTTAAAGACTCTTCTCCACCAAGTTCCTAAAGGAAAGTTTGCTTTTTGAACTGAGAGCTCAGAATGAGAGGCTCTAGAAAACCTAACAAACAGCAATGCTGAGCCAACCTTGAATGTGGAAGGAAGGAAGGCGCAGCGTCAGATATTGAGCAATTATGGGATGGCAGCCTCCCAGGGCCTGCTAGGCATGGCAGAGGCCTGAGGTTTCCAGGCGGGGTCGAAGCTGCAGGAGACACTCAGACTGAAGGGGAACAGCAGACCTCACTCACCTGGTCCCACGTGCTTCAGCGTGAAGTTCTCATCAGGAAAGCGGCTGCCGTAGATGGACTTGCCTCCTGTGCCGTTGTGGTTGGTGAAGTCGCCCGCCTGCAAGCACAACACTTTCTGAGCCGGCAGGGTGCTGCTGCTCTGGAGGTGGGAGGCAGTCCCTAACCCACCAAGGCTCACCCAGCCCCTCAGGCAAAGAGGTCAATAAATATCCAATGAAATAAGGACTAATAAAATAATAGGAAAATAAGCAAAAATAAAGCTTAAAATTTTCTGCTCAATGACTACTCCGGTTTCTAAACAATTTAGTTTTTGTCTGAGCAAGTTTTTAAGTAATCTTCAGAAGACCTAAAGCCCATTCTAAGACGATTCTTAGTGACCCAAGATTTTTAATCCACAACTCTTAGAGGGTAACAGGGAGGAGGCCAGGGGCCTCCATTCCCGACTCTGGTCAGTGCGAGCAGCAGCAGCCGGCCCAAGCCAGTTCCCCTGCCGCGCTCCCCTCCCTGTCCCAGCATCTTCCCCTCGTGAACCAAGCCCAGCAGCTTCCCTGTGCCTTGCAGACCCAAGACAGAGTCTACCCAGCAATGGCACCCTGCTCAGGGCTCACAGGCAGCCCTGGCTGGACTTCCATGGGGCACCGTGGCCAGAAGAGCCCAGAGGCTGCTCCTCCATCCAGTGCTGCCAGCCCCAGCTCCAGCTGCTGTTTTTCTAAAATGGGATCCTCAGATGAAAGAAGTGACCTGGCCTGAACCTCCCAGTGTCACCACCTCACACCACAGATAGCCCCCAGCTGTGAAATCCCTAGCCTGGCTCAGGATGCCTGCCTCGCTCCTGATCATCCATCAGCCTCAGGCAGAGCTGGGAGCCTCTGCAGCAGAAAAGCCACAGGGCTTGGCCAGGCCTGTCCTGCAGCCACAGCCCTGCCTGCCCCTCCCTCTATTCACCACACTTAACATGCATCCAGGCACGACAGCACATAAGTAGGCCCAGCCCCATCTCACTGCCACTCACCACGGTACAATGGCAGCCACTGGGTCAGGGTGGAGGGAATGCGGGAGAGAATTCCAGGCTGAAGGGACTTCAAAGAGGTCAGGACATCCAAGCCCCTGCCTCTAGGTTCTGCCGGCCCCAGGACACTAACCCCTGAACCTTGAGGGTCTGTACTACCAAAGAACAACCCCACCACCACTTGGGTCCTAACCCCTGGAGAAGTTCTTGCTGCTAACACGCACCCCAAACCTCTGACACAGCGATACTAATGACTTTGAAAAACAGGCAGGAGGACACATGACTGAAAAACACGCTCATTTAACCAAGAAAAATGCCATTCTGAGAGGAGAAGCTCCAAGTCCAGACGTGTGTGTTCCTGTCTGTGCCCTGTCCTCCTCCTCCTCTCTCTCTCCATCTCCCACACCAAGTGCTCGGGGGCAAACCAGAGACTGTCTGAATACACTGGTCCTCAAAGCCTCAAGGTCCACCCCCGTACCCCACATTGAGGTGCCCATCCATACCCCACCCCAGTTCTCCCTCAACAGGGTCAACCTCCCCCAATCCCGCTGGTCAGGGCTGTCCTGCCACGTGCTCTGGTGCTTAACTTCTAGGACACAAGGGCCACAGCAGCCTCGACAAGCCAATGGAGTCATTACAGCCACCCTCTGTTCAGTACTTTCCACACACCAGGCACGTGCTCGCTCATTAATCTTCATGACAACCCCACCAGGCAGCTCCTGTCATTATCCCCACCTGTAGAAGAGGAAACCGAGGCACAGAGAGGGCCACGTTACCTGGCACATGAAGGACGGGATCACCCTGTGGAAGGTTGAACCTTTGTAGCCGAAGCCCTTCTCACCAGTGCACAGGGCTCTGAAGTTCTCTGAGGGCCAGAGGGAGAGACATGTCAGTAGGGTCAGGGCCCAACTCCAGGGGTCACGCCAGTTCTAGTCAGCATCCCAACTCCCTGCCCCTGGCCCGCAGTAAGTGAGCCAGGTGTGGAATGACCCTGGCCCACCTCTCACACCTGCTCTGCCTGACTTGCTGTGTGACGGGTACGAGTCCCTTCCCTTCCCTGACCGCACTGCCCGAGCACTGTGACAGAGTGTACATTCCTGGCTATGCCAGCACCAGGTCACCAGGGAGTCCAAGGGCGGTGTACCCTCCGCCCTACCCCACTGGGCACTAAGAAGGAGGAAGCTTTCTCTGGACAATTTACATATGCCTTCCACTGAAGCTCCCAGCTACTGTCAGCCAGGTGGGCAGAACCAACACTGAGGCCCGGAGAGGGACAGAAATCTGCCCCAGGATGCTCAGCCGCTGAACCCTATGGGGAACTCCCATCGGGCCATGGGTCTGAGCCCCAACTCCTCTCCCCAGCCTCTCTGCCTTGCCCTGCCCACCTCCCCTCCGTCTGGACCAGACTCAGAAGGCCCCAGGTCCTGTCTTACCTGCTGTCTTTGGGACGACATCTGCCTTCAGCTGTGGCAAGAAAGGAGGGACAAAAGAAAATGGTCAGCCCAGAGGCAGACAAATGTCTTCCCTCACCACCCAATCCCCATAGTGGCCAAGGAGACTGCGAAAGAGCTATGCGGTCATTCCATTCCTGTTCGTGCCAGCCCTGTGGGAGGCAGCCTGAGCAGCTATCATTTCTGGCAGCAGCTTCCTGAACGCGAGGCTAGGAGGTGGCAGCCTCGGTTTCCCTAACCTGTCACCAGAGATGATAATAACATCCTGGCCTCCTTCCGGGTGCAGAACTAGCAGAGTTCTACAGCCAGGCCTCAAGCACCAGAAGCTCAGGGCTCAAAGGCTCCTCACGCACAGATGGGAAACCGAGGCCCAGAGAGAGGCAGGAGGGAGGGGGGTAAGGGGAGGATGGCACCCCATCCATGCCAGCCTCTTGCCTCTCAGCTTCAAGAGTCACCCTTTCACCAATGAAAGCAGCGGGGTGCTCCCCATTTTCCAGAAGAGGAAACTGAGCCTTAACAAGAAATACCAAAGGCTCCCTGGGAAACTGGTCAGTCAACACTAATTGGCCCCTTTGTTCAAAGTGGGGGCCTGGGCGACTACTTGTCTCTTACTTTGCATTCAAAACAGCCCCCGGAAGGTAGACAGGTGCGGAGTCGTCCCCCGGGGGGCGGCTGGGTGGGCATGAGGCGACTCGCAGGCCCGAAGCCATGGTCTTCTCCATCCCCCAGCTCCCTGAGCGCGCGCCCGACGGCGGGGGCGCGCTCACGTCACGCAGGGGGTGCCACGTGAGCGCCCAGCCGGGCCCGCCGCCCGCAGCTGGCGCCCCCGACACCCACCTCGGAGCTCCGGGTCCAGGCTGGGACCCAGAAGGCTCTCGGAACTCGTCCCCCACGCCGGCTCCGGCCACTGGGGCGCTGGGCCCGCACCCTCCACGATGTGACCTTGAACTCTCCCCTCCGCGGGTGCCCTCCCTCCGCCTCCACAACTCTAAAGTTCCGAGGGAGGCCGGAAGAGGCCAATCTGATGCCTCTTCTCAGAGACGGGGAAACTGAGGCCTAGAAACCGGGAGTGGGAGGCCTAGGGTCACCCAGCGCGCCAGGCACCGCGCCCGGCCGGGGTCCAGGGCTCTCCCGGGACCGTCCCCAGCCCAGGCCAGGCCTGTCGGGTCGAGTGGTCTCACCTCCAGCACCACGCGGCCGAGCGGCAGCCCGTCGGCGCCCACGTCCAGGTACACGAGCGGGTTCCCGGAGGAAG